ACTACGAAGATTATTATAGAATTTCATTAATTGTAATAGAATTATTACTATCATTGAAAAACGTGACGATTTGCTACAAAATTTCTCCCATACGTCGATAAAGAAGTTTCATTCCAACGCCGATAAAGAAGTTTGACTTCAAAAAGCAACATGGCGCGTAACCAAAAAATGTGACGCGTAACGAAAAAATGTTACACTAAATTTTTTTCCAACCTCGATAAAGAAGTTTCACTTCAAAAATAAAAAATTGTGTATAAATATCATGGTGAAAAGAGAAACAGAGACTTGCTTTGCATAAGTGTACTCTAGAGTTTTTAAAATTAATTTCTTTATCGTAAAACAAGTTCAAATGAGACGGATATTGACGTAACAAGTGCAAAAATTCGTTACCAACGATTGCGTAAGCTTATAAGATAATCGTGAATTCATTCATTCCGGTCGTTCATTCACTCTGACATAACATGCCGCTTACGGTGGATCAAATTTGGATGGCTGCCAATAAGGAGCTTATTTGAATAAATTTTGTTTGGATATAATTTTATACCAAGCCGATCTTAAAGAAATTAAATTACTGTAATTTGTTAATTAGAATAAATTAAACACTGGGGTTAATTTTGCTATAAAACAAAGAATTCTAGGTTTACATTTTCAATTCACCCAGTACGGGTGGCGCAAAAGTACTGGCACTAAAGAAAATTTGTTTATTTTTTTTATATGACGATAGTTTTCATTCTGTTGTTGAAAATTGTGTAGTAAACAAATGTAAAATACACTGAAAATAAACATGGACCGTTTTACTCCCCAATAACGTGGAATAATCGTGTCAATGTTCTTACGGAATAATTCATCAGTGATAAAAACACAACGTGAATTTCGTCGACGATTTCCTGTAAGATCACTCGACCTGACGAGTCCAGACTTCTTTTTTTTGGGGTTTTTTGAAATCTCGGGTGTATGTGAACAAGCCACAGACTCTCGCATATCTAAAAGAAAATATTCATAAAGAAATAAGGAACATATCGCAGGAAGTATTACGGCAAGTTATGCAAAATGTCATAAATAGGGCTCAAATGTGCATCAACTCTAGAGGTCACCATTTAAAAGACATCATCTTTAAATCCTAATGGTACGAAATTTAATGGCACAAATATACATTTAAAAAAACCTAAATCTAGTTTTCTAATTTAGAAAAAATGTTATAGCTGAACGAAATAGGGTCTTTAATTTTGCGCCACCCAGTATATACGTTTTTATATTTAATCACGAAGGCATTGCCCGTATTTCGTGTTAAATGAATAAAGATAAAACAAAGATTTAAAATTGGAAGATTAAATTAAATAAAATGGCGTCTTTTTAAATATCACAAAAATCGAAAATTCGACAGTAGTTGGTTAAAAACTTCTCGTAGTTTTTATATAATTCTTGCACACGTGACTTTAATCTTCACTTTCATAGCGATTTTGCATTAAAAGCCAATAGCGTTTGTGGTCACGGCTGTGGGTCAATATGACCATGATATGTATGCCTCCTTCGTCCCGCGAGGGTAAACTGGGCCGGCTATTTAGTACAACTCACTTTTCCGGCAATACACTTCGACAAATTATCTTCGACATTTTTATCCGTCAGGTTTTAAACGAGAAATAGCGTGATATTTTTTTAAATTTCTATAGCCCCTTCGAGGTTTCATTTAGCCTATATAAAACTTTCGCTCTCTCTCTAAAATCTGTACGTACCAAAGTTTGTTGTTGGTGAAACGTAGAAGATGTATGATCACATTTAAATAAAGTTAAAAATTGTGTCAGCTTTACAAAACGACACATAAAATACATGACTGTATAATCATGAACTTAGAACTTACATACAGCACCAATAAAAATTTAACAACTTCTTTAATTTATTTTGCGGATCAGATAAGATCTTGATCATTGGATCAGATGAAATGATGTTAATGAGACCACCACTGTACCATTAAAAAAAGGTTTACCAACGGACGGATAGGGATCAAGGAACATACAAATAATGAGATTCATAAAAATACCGATAACGTCGGCACCTGGTATTCATTTTGTCTTGATTGGGATAGTGGCTCGTTCAATCATATTCAATGTGATTTTCAAAACAGTGTTTAGGGAGCTCTCTCATTATACGTTCATGATTAAGGAAAATACTTAAGTTTTATTGAAGTCCACCATTCACTCCAAAACGTACGAATCAATTACTTTTACCCAATATACGCCGTCATGCTGTCTAGAAGAACAAACGTGTTTTTATTATGTAATAAACGTTTTGTGCTTGAAATTTTACAAACAATCATCTGGTAACATTAATAATCGTCGAATGGTCGCATAAAATTTTAAATGAAGTAAATTAAAACTTAATAATTATATGTCCAAAAGTCATACTCCCTTATAAATTACTCCGAGGTCTGTATTGTTTCATGACAGCGTAAATAGAACTTGATAGCAAAGGACGAAAGAGTAAATTTTGTTTTTATAATCTAATCTAAATACAGTGTAAACTCTTTATAACGTTATTCGTTATAACTAAATACTCTATATAACATAAAAATGCCTAACAGCTGTTTGGTTAAACACAATACTCATAAATCAATACAATCTTTATAACCCAACAGCCATTCTCTATAACGAAGTAATATTTTCATATTTTGGTTCATAGTTTGGTTTCTTTTCTCTTCCTTCCCTATAACGAAAAAAAAAGGGTGCGTGTACTTATGTACGCGCGTAAGAAGTTTTACTTATTTGGCATTATTAAAAATAGTTTTTGATTGCATGCAAATAATTAATTACAATTAAATAATCAAAGACTGGAAAAGGAGTCATTATAGTCAATAAAGTTCAGTTTACATTTGAAAAATTAAATAAATATATATATATATATATATATATATCATTATTATTCTCTTACATTAAGTGTAACATAAATTCTATTATTATTCGAATGTTGTTTTTAAATTATGATCAATGCCGTAGCATCTTCCGTGGGCAACTTCATTCTGTTAATTTTGTGTCACGGTGCGCGCGCATCGTAAAATTTCACTCTCATCAATTTTTCATAACTTCAAAAATACTCGGTCCCTTGAAATTCGTTATAAACACTTTGCACTGTATATAAAAAGTAATATTTATAAACAATATCAAATCCACGAATATTACTTATCAAGATATTTTTAATGCTTCGGTAACAATATTGTATGAAATGCCTCAACCACCCTTTTAATTACTATAATTATCTTTAATTAACTCACGTAAATTTGTGCGTAACCTGAATTAGGTATATTAGAAAGTAAAAGTATGGAATCTAAAATTATAATTTAAAGATAAAAACAGTTTTCAATATGTTAATCATAATTTATTTTGCATTATCACAAACCATTTGCAAAATTTTCTAAAATATACATAACAGGATAATATTTTTTTATAATTAAATACTTATTAAGAAACATTGATATTATAGATGTCCTGATAGATTAACTATACTATGTGCGCTGTAGCGGGTGACAGTTGTTTAATTTTTCTTTCTTTATTCTTTGTATTTGTAGACTAGAACATTCTGGCTGGGTTAAATTTACTACAGTTATTAATTATTTAATATATTACGAATGTGGTACAGCTGAAAAAATAATAAATAATAATAATAAAGCCCGTTTTATTTCCAATCATGACAAAAACAAATTATAATACGCAGCTTAGATTATTATACATATTATTTTTTTTTTTTTTATTCTATATTCTAACTTCTTTCAGTACCGTCGATCGGAACCCCTTCACGGGTAAAGGCCTCCTCCAGCTTTTTCCAACTGACTCTGTCTATGGCTCTCTTTCTCCATTCGTTTCCTGCTACCGCTTCTATTTCTTCTATCCACCTTTTTTTGGGCGACCTCTTCTCCTTCTTCCTCTTGGTCCTTTCCATACAGTTGTCTTATCGGTGGACAGCTGAAAAAGTCATAATTTGAATAAATAAAACTGAACCATACAAATAAAAATCACTACTAAACAATGACAGTAATGATAACTGTCACCTTTTTACAACACTCAAAAATAATATTCAACTGACTTAATATACTATTGGAAACTTAAACACCAAATATATGATATCTTTAAGAAAAATCTACTCCAAATTCCTACAGTTTATTTATAGTAAATAGAAAAGTACTAGAAGAACATAGTTTATATATGAGCTTGTGTTACACGTACTAATAATCTCATTGATTAATCGATGTTCAATTTTATCTAAGGAAAGTAACATTGTAGTATTGTCTAATTTGTTTCGTTCAAAAGGAAGCCAGACACGCGATTTATATCAATTACATAGTCAAAAATATTGATACCAATTTCTCACACGCACACTTATATAATATTAGAAATCACCCAATAAAATGTTAATTTTACAAATTTAATACATGATTCACGGATTCACGATCGCCTGCGCAGTGCATACGAGAACTTGATAGATATACCCGTAGAACTAAGAATGGTATAGATATGTGTACTATGAAATCAAGTTCGAAATCAAAAATCAACCACAAAAATCAAATTATCTATTTACTTTACTATATCTAGCGACGAAGCCAGTTGTAAATTAGTAGTCACATTACGGAGAAGCATTTGCCTTTTATTTTCCAGCCAAACACATGTACATGCAATGATATAGTCAACATTTTAGGAATTAAATAGGCATTTTATTTTAAATTCTAACTATTTATCATTGTTTATTCCACCTTAGTGAAATTACTATATAGTGTAAGCATTTCCGTACTACATAATACAGTGATTGTATTTCATATACCTTGCAAAATGGTACATATATAATTATAAGTAAATGAATATTATTCAAAAGTTTTATAGCAGACGGTGAGTCTATGCGTTCATAACTCTACATCGGTACGCGACTAGCAATTTTGTTACCACCGGCCCAGTGGGGGGCGTTAAATAAAACCGCTTTACCACACTCCTGTGCATTATACTCACCATCGTACCACCATGAAGGTCTTACTACTGTTAGTCTGTGTGGCGGTGGTGGCAGCGAAACCCACGACCGAAGATGAAGTCATGGGATCAGTTGTTGGGGTTGTCAAAAGTTGCGCGGAAAAAGATGTATCCTTGTGTTTAAAGGTGTGTAGTGTTTGTGATAAATTTAAAATTAGAACGTTTTTGCTACTGTGTATAGGGCATTTTATTTAATTTAAAGCTTTAAAATTTCATTAGTCTTTTTAATTAAAAATACATCGTTCTAATACGAAATTTAAATTAAACCAATCATTTTATACGTATATTAACCCAAACTGCTTAATATTAATAAAGACAATTCTACATTTACTTGATATAAAATTTTCCCACAGGAAAAGGCTTTGAAATACGCAGAAAACCTGGCATCAGCACGCGAAATTAGCATCACCGATGGTGTCACTCTCATTGGTACTGGATCATCACGAGGCGCCAGATCTTTCGAGCCCCTATCTGAAGAACCTAGGGCAAGAGAAGACCAGGTAGAATCGAGACTACTTGATGCTGCCGCTGAGTTCTTGGAGAACCACGTAATCCAGCTACGAGTACCGAAAGGAACAGTTGATGACGTCAAGCGGTCTCTTGAGGAAGGTCAGTAACACAAATGTTATTATTTGAAAGTTATACTTTCACAACACTAAAACCATTTAAATACTGCTTAATATTTTTAATAAGGTATAATCTAATTTCACGTGATTCGTTAATTTATCTAAAAGTTCATGAAAGCATACACCTTGCTATTGCTTAAGAAAGGAAACGCGAGAAATTTGCTTAAGTATCGTTATTAAATTATATGTTCTAGATATAATGAGAGTAGGTAATATTTATTGCTTGTAAAAATATTTTGACTCTAATACTAAAATTATACTAAGATTTTATAAATCGAGTAATGTGTTAATACATCAACATTTAAAATATTGTTTACTTCAACTGTATTAAGTAACATTTCCCTATAAAATGTGTTTATAAACAATCGTTGCGCTGTTTGCATTACCGGGTAATTAAGATTCAAATTAATTGCTCGCGGAGATTTACACTTAATTTTAATTAGGCAGAAAGTGTGAAAGCTGTAATAATGAGTATAATTCACAGCTCAAAATGGAAAATAGTTATGGTATTTTAAGTTTATGCTAATATTTATGAGTTAAAATTCATTGTATAAGGTAGCTATGGCTATTTGTTTGTTATAATCGCTGCTGCTTAAAAGACCTAAGTGGTATTATTAGTTCAACTTCCAGCAATAGAATTATTTGGCACGGCTTAGCTAATTAGAAAAAAAAAAATTAGCCATACAGTATATTCTTATCCTAAGTTAAATTGATTTTTAAACTTACTAAAGTTCACACTTATATCGTATCTATAATTTTGGTGAGTAGCAAAAAGTTCAATCATATTAAGCTCATTCGTATTACGTAGCAGCATATTACTTACGGCAAAAAGCAATGCCCCAGTTTTTTGTAATATGATTCTAAATTCAAAAATGACCGGAAGTTCGCAAAAAGTTCTTCATTCGAAAACTGGCATAAGAACTGTCACGAGCACGTCACGTATACGCCCAAAGCCGGCCGCGGGCGTAAAAAAATTCGGCCAAATTCTCAGACGCTCAAATTACAAATGACGCAATAAAATGCGAAAATTATTACATAAACAGGCATATATTAAATTCGCTCTCACCGAAATTCCGGTATGAAGATAGAAAGTCGGTTCTAATTAAAATGATGAGAATGTAGGTTTTAGAAATTGCATCCTTAGTGTTTCCGTAAGTTGTTTGAAAGCTGGAACGGGTCTCTGGGTCTTATAAGGCTCGTTATAGTTGAAAGCTGACTTTGTCCAGTTTTTGCTTTGCTGTTTTATCTATGCCAGCTTTTATCGCCCGTTTAGTTCATTACGAGACTGATAGTAATTATTGATATGATTACAATTTATGGGTATCAACTATTAAATTAAATTCAATTCAATATCAGTATTCAGTAATCGGTGCAGTAACCCGCATGCATAGGGCAAGGATGTTCTTGCGTCTAGTTCACTGATCTTTATAGTACTGAGTACGTCCTTCCGATATGTAAGAGTTAACTGTTTTCCGGGGGTTCAAAAGTCCGTAACATTCACAGATATCCCTATTTTTTATATTTTCAAACGACTGTTTCTCCGCGTCTCTACGAGGTTATAATTTAAACAGTTCAAAGCAACTTAATATTTGCAAAAGTGAGAAAATAAACTTTATTACATATAAATGAAAGTGTCAGGAGAGTGTTACATAACTTCACATTGTTCAATGAAAATAGAAGATTTTAATCCAATAATGAAAAAAGTTTAAAGTTACGTACAAGTGTAATTTTAATTTGCAATGTGACATTTAATTAATATAATGCAACTGGCAAAGCTTTCTCGTTGTATCGAATGACTAATAAGCTTTCTAAGCTATTATGCAAACGGCTGGCCAACTTGAATTTCAATGATTTTCATTGTTTTAACTACTTGGAATTCAATTCACTACTGATCGGTATTTAGATTAGAACTACGGTTTTGAGAGAAAGTGGAATCCACTATTGTTTGTATGTGATTCGAATTATTCGGAAAATTTTCATTGTACTTTCAGTTTTTCCTTCCTTTATTACTTCTATTGCTTGAATATATCGAACGCTTAGTGAAGTATACATATCATTCACACATACATATTATTCGCATTCCTCATTAAATTATAGGAACGAATCAAATGATGGTACGACTGGCTGAACTCATATTCATTATAATATCATTTAATTCTTACCTTTTTTATAAGAAATGTGGGTATACTCGTAGTAGCATTTGCCATTAAGAGAAGTTTGACAGCTAAAAATCCTTTTTAAGAAAACAGTTTTTTTTAAATAAACGTTTTTTTAATGCCTAGGTCGTGGAAAGAAGAAGAAGTTGAAGCAACTCCTCCCCATCTTCGCTCTCCTCCAGCTAAAGATCCAGTCCCTCATCCCTCTGTTCCTTGGAATCATTGCGTTTGCGGCTGTCAAAGGATTGTTGCTTGCCAAGGCTGCCCTCCTGGCATCTGCTCTTCTGTTGTTGAAGAAACTTCTCTCAAAACATGAGCCCCATGAGAGTTACGAGGTATATATTATTTAATATTTTCAATAAACAAAACCTTTTTAAATTCACATATTTAAGTAATTCATGATATGATAACATTTTCATGTTACGTAAAAACCAATCCACAATTCATAAGACGTTTGTTACAGCGTTGTTTTATAATAATATATCTACAATAAACCGACTCAGTCTCTATATTGAGCATAATCTGAAACAAATGACTCTAATAAAATGATTTTTCAAGGTTGTGGCCCACCCTCACCATGAGGAACACATCGCCCATGCCAGCCCTCACGGTGGTTGGGGAAGATCTCAGGACGCCCAAGAAATGGCCTACAATGCCTACTCCAACTGATACCTAAGAAACCTCATCCATTAATTTATTTAATTTATTTAAATTATTCATAAACGTATAGGCTATGCGTCACCAGTATTTATTTATGTACCTGTTCTTTATATAGTACAAATAGGTTAATTCTTGTCCTTTACCTAGTCACTGCTTTTTAAAGCTTTTGTAAATACGCAACTTCATAATTATATATGCGGTTATATATTCGATTCTTATATGTATTTATATATAATTCTTATATTGTATTTTGCTGAAATATTTCTTATCTATTTTATATCTGATCTGAATCTTTGATATATTCCTATTACTTTATTCTTTTCACAATAATATATAGCACGTTGGTGATGCCCCTTTTGTAAACATTTCGCCCACCATTATCATTGTTATCATGCATTTCCAGTCATTTAATTTATTAATGCTAGATTCAAAGATTGTTTTGTTAATAAACAAATATATTACATGTTTTGTTTTATTATAATAATAAAAGACACGAAACACCTTTCAAAGCTACTTTTGGGAATTACATTTATAACCAACCTATATTGGCGTGATATCTTAACTTTTTAATCCATAAGTACTAAAAAAAATATCTCAATGATACAGCACTACACGTGACAGTTCTGTCAAATTATCAGTAAAATTGTAGTTTCACAATTTACCATTTCGTTAAGCCTATCCTAATTTTATGTTCAAACGACTATTCTTTCTTTTATTTTATTCTTTAATGAAAATTGAAAACTTTGGTTAACTTTTAAATATAAATCCCTAAAAACACTACTTTAATATAATTTTCCAAATAAAAGGTTTTGTTAGTTTTACCTAGATTTTTCTTTTTGTTCAGAGCAGTGTTGGCCCAGTGGCTTCAGCGTGCGACTCTCATCCCTGAGGTCGTAGGTTCGTGTACCAATGCACTTTCATCTATGCGCATTTAACATTCGCTCGAACGGTGAAGGAAAACATCGTGAGGAAACCAACATGTCTTAGAGCCAAAAAGTCGACGGCATGTGTCAGGCACAGAAGGTTGATCACCTACTTGCCTATTAGATTGAAAAATGATCATGTAACAAATTCAAAAATCTGAGGCCCAGACCTAAGGAGGTTGTAGTGCCACTGATTTTTTTCTTTTTGTTCTAAATTAAACTCGGCTAAAGTACCATGAATGGTCACATATGGCTCGTTGCATTTTCCTATTGTTCAAATACTTGCACCAATTCCCACAGTGTAAATTGTTTCAAAAAAGAAAGCTTTTACTTAGGAACCTTCTTTAATCGTTAGGTCAGTATATCTATTTATGTCATATGCCTTTGGAGAAAAAATTCTCCATTGGCAACGTTAGACTAAATCTTTTACCATAACGAAAAATACTGATTGTAGAAAAAAAATAGTATTCCTATTTGAATTAATTATAACTTGGGTACAAATCTCCGAAAAACTATCAAAAAGTTCTTCAAAATTAAATAGTACAAGAACGAAAGTAGTAGTAAGTAGTAACAGAATAATAAATAAATTGAAGGCAACAAAAGGCCTGAGAAGTATGCGCTGCACAAATGGAAAGGAATAAGCCTTTATCCAGTTATTTCTAGAGATAATATCTAGCTCTACACTAATATGATAAGCGCGAAAGTGACTCTTAAAGTTAAATAAACATGCCCATGGCATAAGGCTCTCTAACCTTTGCAAATCTAAAGTAGAAAGTTCATAGACTTTCTTGTTGGTGCCCTTTAGGTATTAAATGTTTTCTTTGAATTATATTTTAAAATAATATGTTCCTTGTTTAGTTACTTTAGACTATAATAAAAAAAAAAGATTTTTCTTCAGTTATGGATTAGGCTTATTTCTGTAGACTACAATCACTGCGATGACGTCATACACTAAATCGCGCTAAAAAGTAAAAAAAAACTTAATTCTCAGAACAAGAACAACATCCTTCCTCTACATCTCTTATACTACGTTTTTCATGGTGATTTTGAGTAAATGATACTTTAATAATATAAGATACATATTTTATTAAAATCTAGGCACTATATTTCTAATATTTTTGTATATAATCAAGTGACATAGAATATTTATTTATTAACTTCTACGGTATCGATCAAAATACCTTTTATAAGCTGTAATTAATATTATGTACAGCTAAAGGTGCGCTTACACGGGCAACTAAAATTGCTCAATTCCAGTCAATACTCGTCAATTATGACACACGACTACATCAAGCAATTTACGGCAACGGCAACAAGCATCAATACTGCGCAATACAATATTGAGCGATATGGCGCAACTTCATCAACTATGAAATACTGTCATACACGAGCATTTCAGTTTTCGCTCGCTATGGACGACATTGTTCTTGCTGCGGCGACTTGTAGCGCTTTTTTTCATCATTAATCAAAAAGAGAAAAGAAAGAAAAGGAATAGGCATATCTGGGTGCGATCGTTTTTGACAAAGAGGACAAAATTTTCATTATGTAAAGATGATATATTATTCAAAAACTTTACTAGAATGTCACGAACAGACTTTGAATTACTTTTGAATAAAGTAATTAGAAATTATTATTATTTAGACCTCTCGCTCTTCCCGCGGAAGCAAGACGGCAAGCCGCAAAACAAACAAGTGCGAATGAGACATATACAAAAATTGCTAGGAATTTCCAAGTCCATTGGATATTCGTCAATTCGTATCTGCGATATTGAGCGATATGAAATATCTGGAGCAATTAGAAGCAATATCGCCGAAATAATTTATTGCAATTTATTGAATTTATTGAAATTGCTCCATTAATTGCTCCAGATCGGTCCATTCGTGTCGCCGAGCGATTATTGCCCTCGTGTAAGCGCACTTTTAGATTAAAATTTTATTGTAAGTTACTAATTATTGTATCCTAGTTAAAGTATCATATTTTATATGCATTGTGTAGTAAATATGGATTTAATTATTAATAATAATATATAATTTAGGCAGATTAAATTATATTAGTCACAAGGAAGTAGCTTATAATATACTTAAAATTTTGTAACAACGATTTTAATTTTAGACAAAAATTTATTGTACATAACGCCATCTAGTAAATTATCACGGAACCAGTTTCATGGCCAAGTTTGTTTAGATTGTGGCAATTAATTAGCACGAGCTTGTGAATGAACTTTACGTTCAAGGTTTTATTTACTAGTTTCCTGCGAAGGTGCCAATGAACTGCGCTGTTTATATAATATTCGTGACTTAAGTTCGAAGTATATAATAACTTATAAAAAGGAATTATATATTTTATAAAAAAACTTTTCCGTAATTAAAGTATAGTTATACTATTACTATAACTATTAATAAGTTGTTATGTGCTTTGAAACATTTTCTTTAAAATTTACAAATATAATATTAAATACAGCACAGTTTTAATAAGAACAAACCTTCAAGGTTTATTTTAAGATAAAGGTCAACGACATAGTTAAACCCATTTACGCTAGATGTCACTGGTTTACAAATTAGCCTAATCAGAAAAGTATAAGAGAATGTTATATTGGAATCATAAATAAAAATTTACCAGGAAATTTATATATAGAATACGTTTGATATGAAAAAACACAGTTCTCTTCTTGATCGTGATTCCACATTGTTTTCACGTTCTCCACTTGAATTTGCCGCCCTAAAATCTACAATAGGTAGTCTACAATAAAAAGTCCTTTATCAACATTTAGCTCTTATAAATTTATTACGTAACCATCACTTTGTATTTTTTTCGGAGACTTGGCGGGTTGATGTTAATGTCAGAAACATTATAATTGAATATATTATTGCTATGTTTAATATCCGCTTTTAGACTATTAGTACATAATATGTCATATCGGAAGTGAAACTTCTTTGGCAAACTAATCTTTAAGTCTTGTTCATATTTATACAAATCTAAAACATTAGATTCCCGATACTTACTACCTCTTTCCCTCCCTGAAAGAGGAAGATAAGTTAGGAATTTAATGAAGTTAATTGTCATTAAAATATTAAATGTCCAAAATTAATACAAATTATATATATTTAAATTTATTTCTTCGATAATAAAAACTAGAGATGAATCGGATAGCGGCCGAATAATCGTTACTAATCCGGTATTCGGCCGGATAGTATTAAAGCCGCCGAACAGGCCGGATACCGGATATCCGTTTCATCTCTAATAAAAACACGTGGCATTTTAATTTATAATGAATAATAAATAGTTCATTATAATAATTTTCTTTATAGTATTCAGTGTAAATGTAAATTCCGAATCAATTTAACATCTTTTTGGTTGACGTTCATAAGTGTACTTACATATAAATAGTTTGAGAATTTTATATTAAAATTGTTTATTTATGTTTAAACAGTTTCACGTATTTTATAATAACAAACAATACTTAAAAATTTGCTTAATGAAAAAAGTTACAAGTTACCTATTACTTAATCTTCATTAATTCGAAAACGAGATAATTCAAGTTAATGAGAGATAGCCGAACTAATGGGTGCATTACACGTGAGCTTAATGTATAAAGATTTTATCTTAACCGTAGCTTAACGGCTCTGTGCACGAATACCGTGATTAGCTTATAATATCTCCTATTACTGACTTGTTACTGACCCACTGTTGTATCCGCATTTCTCTTGCTTTTACTTGTACATGTACATATATTATTCTAGGAGCTTCTTTACATAAACTAGAGCATAATATGATCTTGGTTAAGCGGCTTATAACGCTCGAAGAGTCAAAAAATTACACGCATATGAATCAATACTGGTAAGATTTGAGAAAATGCGGATACAGTTCTATATGAAATTGAAGTTTTTTTATTAAACTGATAAGTACAAACATAATATCGGTCTTATATTATGAAGTACATAAAATGTTTTCCAATTAACTTACATCCGTGTACTTTTATCAATATACTTTTTTAAAATTAAAATTCAATATAAATGAAAAAAAATTAGTTAAATGATAGGCGACTTCAAGCAAAAATTACAAATCCTTTACATCACTGTATTATTA